ATTACTGAATTAAAGAACAACAAATTTTGGAAAACTCACTATCTATAAAAACTACCCTGTATACTTTCGCTAACGAAAAATTATCGAATGGATAAATGTGTGAAGCTAAAAAGAACATATTTTGAAAAACAGTAAAAAAAAAAGGCGAATGGAGTGCAAAAGCCTCTTCTTCTGAAGGGTAATTCAACTCAAAAAAATAATTCATTAAGTAATTCTGGATTTTGTTATTAGGGCATTTAGTAAGCGACTGTGGGTTTAAAACTTATCCATACAGCTACAACCAATCTACACTCACGATATAGACGTATAGCTACTTGTTTTGGGTACCACAACTGGTGGGAAAAGTAATTCATTTATGGGTCAGTCAATCCAAGGTTTTTACAATATCAAATTTAGAAATCAAAAATGTACTTTCAATGGAGAGTCAGGAAGCGTGATTTTGGCCCGTATTAATCAGTTGAAATTAATTATTGTCATTTACCCTCGATACATAACTATTTTGATTTATTAAAGGCAAACTCCCGCAAACGGATTTTTTTGATTTGAACGCACGACCATTTCTCACCGAGAATTTCTTTTAATGAGCACGCTGGAGGTGATTACCCAGGAGTGGGTACATCCCTGAAAATTACAAGAACCTGTGGCGAGTTTCTTGCTTGCACATTTTTCGGCAACTCGAAATCGTTAAACATTTAATTTATCGGTCTCATAAACTCATTAGTAAGGCGAGAGAAAACGCCATACCTACTTATTTTAAACACTTGCACTTGAACGCGGTTTGTGTACTATATTATCGGCAATGTTAGTTTTAATGCTAAAGAACCTGACTCTATGTAGGTATGCAGAATCAGTACATGTATTTCTTATAGATCAATACCGCTGCCGATGCTAGGAGATATATCAGTTATACTTACAGTATAAAATTTACTGAACGAAGCTATAATTTTTATGCAAAGAATTTCAACTCAGAAAAGATTATTTGTAAAGATGTTTAAAGTTAACAGATAACAAAGCGAAACCAAAACAACAATAAAGCCAAATAAATCACATCTAACCTCGTCTGAAATACATCGCGCGTCTTCCTATACAGTGAAGCTTTATTCATCTCATAATAAAGTTAGGAAGTTGTAAGAATAGTCGGTAACAAAATAAGTCACTTACTTTAAAATGCAAATTTGCTCAAGTTTATTATAGGTGGACTAAATCAACTAAATTTAATTACAAAATTATTCTATAAACTTTTAGAAAAGCTTCCATTGGATATACAAGTTTCTGAGTACAAAGTTTTTAATGTTTGCGTATAAGTTTATTTATACGATATGTTAAAAAACAAATGTATTAGTTAATATTGCATCAGTACGCCCAGGGGCTTCCTCGCAATTTCTATCCCCTAACTACCACGAAGTGTTAATAACCGTTAAATTGAGAAGCGTAGTAGTCAATTTCGGAAACAGATTATCACAAGATTATTAAATTACAAACATTAGGTAATATGATTAATTTTTAATTATTTTTAAATGTAGAACCACTATTCAATTAGAAATCCAAATATTGTTGGTCATAGTGTAGTATTCCAAACAGTTTTGCACACGTTATTTTAATGGAATTGCCTGGTTTTGATCGATCTACTATACATTTGCTAAACTGAACGGTATTTGAATTATATTTACTCAACTTTTTAGAAATGCTTAACGTATGTACTACTTCATAAAATAAATCGTCTCAAAAAGGGGTGGACGGGCTGGGTTTCTTTTTCGTGAACAATCCATCACTACCGATGCACTAACGACTGGCACGTAATATTATTTCGTTAGTGATTCCATTAGCGTACTAACTTCGTGCACCCTTAAGACGGGCTACTTGTTTCCAGAATTGGAGTAGACAACATCCAGTGTGTAAAAAAATATACAGAGGGTTCAAAATATGAAGTTCTTATTCCTGAAAATGCTCTTGATAGATCCTTGCCCCATCTTCGTCAGTTGATTTTAACTAAAAACTAACAGAAATTTGTAATGATCTCGCTCCATTCGAAATTAAGGCTGATATAATGAGAAAGAGTAAATGTGATGAAACCGCATAATAAGCTTTATTTTAATATGTAAGTCAGCATGCCAATAATTTTCCTACTACTATACAGGGTGTTTTTTTGGAAGCTTTAGTTAAAAGTTTCTGGGAAAGTGAAATAGATACGTTTTTGAAAATTTGTACTTAGGAATTACTCTGAAGGCCGATTTGATCTAAAATATTTTCAAAATGATGGTACTTCCGGAAAACCGGAAGTAGTTAGCAATTTCGGGAGCCCCTATCTTTTATTGCGTTTTTGGATTCTACGTGAAAGTTAAGTTCTTTTGATACCCACATGTCGATATCTACAATCTATGGTTTTGAAGTTATTCTCACTTTCAACAAAAAAAAGTGGGGAAGCAGGCGGTATCTTGAACATTGATTACCTATCTGAAAACAGCTGTAGTTACGGCAACCCATTTTTAACAGTGCGTAGGGTTTTGTTTTAGCCTACTTTAAAAAAGTTAAGTTGCCTATGACCGCACCTATATGGAGATCCAAAAACTTAGTTTTTTCAGACGAAATGACAGCGACCCAGTCGCCTGGATCAAAAAACCACGCATACAAATCCTTATCGAGCAGTGCCCGGCGGCCACGCGGTGGTGCTGCCAATTCTTTGGTAGTTCTGACTTATTCTCATTTCATTGAATTGTTCCCTCTGTGCGGCTGGTGGCCCAGTGAGTCGTGGGACATAACGCGGTTAGTTCAAATTACAGGTTGATTTTGTTTATTTTGCAGTTGTGATCGAACCTGCTACCTAGCGTGAGCGGAATTTCACTCCACGTAGCGTAAATGTATAGGTGTCAAGCCTTCTGATTGGACGCAAAACTTAGTTGGAAATAGTTGTGCGGCCCGGAATGGGTAGCAATCAAAATGGAAGTAGCGGGAGAACCGTCAGACAATGTGCGTTGTATAGTAGGCCAAGTTAGGTCACCCAGCTGCAATTTACGAAGGGCGTATTTGATTTGTGTGGATCGCGAACGAAGTTAAGACAGCCACTAGGAATTTATCGCATGTTTGATTTATTTTTTGTTATTAGGATTCTTGTCGAGTTACGAGTCGAGTAATTATTTACGAATAAGCGCAGTTGGTTTATTTCATTGGAGTTTGTATTTCTGTAGTGTTTTTTTGTGCTGATAACAAGAGAGGCAGGTAGACAATGTTGTGCGCATTATTTTCGGCGTAAGTGGGAATGCGTTCTCCTTCGAAGTTGGCGTTATTGACATTATTTTTTCTAAATACTGGAGGAAGGAGTTTTTTGTTTTGGTCGAGGTGGTGTTTTATTAAATACTGCAGACAACGAAAATACGGTGCTGGTTCGCGACGGTTGGAAAGGAGTGTACGATTCATTACGCTATTTATTCGATTAGATTGATTGAAGACGCAGTTCGTCATTTTCATAATATTTCTGTCCAGAAGAAAGTTAACTAAAGTTGTGAGAAGTTTAAAGCGTGTTCCGTATTACTCAATGGTTTTACGGAAAAAGTTTTTTATGAAAGTTAAAAGTTTAAACCAATTGCACAGCCTCCGATAATTTTTTAAATTAACAAACTTGTTCATTATCATTAAGATTTATGTATTAAAGAAATGCGAAGTTACCTAAAGCTGTCAGAGTGTTTTTGTGTGTTCTTGTTAAGCGCGGCAGTTTATCGCAGACCTGTATATGACCGGAATTTAAAAAAAATGTAAGTAATTTTAATATTTTGTTATTTTTAATTATCGACCCTCTTCCACGGGGTACCATGTAAAAACAAGTTTTGTAATCTTCTCTTTGTTTCAGGAATTTTGTTTTAATTTTCATTTAATGTGTTTTGGAATAAATTTTTGTCATTGTCAATCAATTAATTGTGTCCATTTTACGACCCGTATACACTTTATGTCCCATTGTTTTCTTCGTATCCAAAATTTATTTCAGGTGTTGATAAAATTATGCTTAATAAATTATTTAGAATTTCGGAAGTTGGTCGAGATCACTGAGTCTCCAAAATTAGTAAGTTCAGTCATTATTGGGATTTTTCTTTGTATTTGCAGATACCTGAAATAGACGAAAAAAAATAAAAATTCTAAGTTTCAATTTTAATTGGTTTGAGCTAGCTGGACAAGTGTTTTGTTGGTGCTGTAGTTGACCGCATACCATTGCCACACAGCAGTATATCAAATTGTGTAATATAATTGATCATGCGTGAGAGAAAAGTACAGTTTTCCATATTTTAAATTCAGTATAAAATAATGGAAATCCTCCAGCTGAGTTTAATCATTGAATAAGCAAATAATTACTTATTCAATTGGTTTAATTTATTGTTGCCATTGTGAATTGGTCTGCAGGGAATAGTAACCATTTTTTATTAAGGAAGCGTTACTCAGTACTTAATTTTGAAGTCAATCACTATTACGGCTATCATTGCAAGGGCTGTGGCTGAGTGAAAAATATTCTTTCTCATTGAAAAAGTTTTGTTATTGGCTATTTCATAATTATCTAGTGAACTAATGATTTTTGGTGGGTAATTATCGAGAGAAAACTATGGATGCCTTTTCATGAGATATAATAGTATATTGTAATACAAGTGCGGAAAGGGCTTTATTGAAAAACGCGTATGAAAGTTGGAGCACGAGCGTTAGCGAGTGTTCCAATCATACAAGTTTTTCAATAATCCTTTCCGCAAGTGTATTACATACTATTTTTTCTACGAAAGTTCTCGAATTTAAAGATTTAGAGAAAAATTTTATATCAAAATGTTAAAACAACAATTTCTGTATAAATCAAGTCGTAGTACGATTCTCGTGTTTATCTGTAAAAATATAAAATCAAGTCTTCGTGACGCCGCTACGTTGTCTTAGTTACCAACGAGTTGTTTATAAAAAAGCCGGTTAGTAATTTTGCATGTAGTTTTGTACGAAGCAATTTCTTCAGTAAAACAAGAATTTAAAAGCTGAAAATGAGTGTTCATGAAGAAAGTGAGAGCGGCGATGAATTTATGTGCACTCCGCCTGAGGTTGCTGCAATGGCGGAATCAATTATGCCTGAGCTTTTGCCTGAAAAATCGAGAAATCGGGACGAAAAAGAACGAGAGAGGTTTTTTAATTGGTGTAAAATGAAACAAGTCAAGCGGTATACAGAAACCGTGTTGCTTGCCTATTTTGTCGAAAAATCTGGAAAATTGAAATCATCGACACTGTGGTCAATGTATTCCATGTTGAAAAGTATGTTGATTTTGCAAGACAACGTCGACATTTCCAAGTATGCCAAGTTACAATCGTTTTTGAAACGTAAATCTGTTGGTCACAAGCCGAAAAAATCGCTGACTTTTACGAGGCAACAAATCAGTACGTTTTTAGAGGAAGCACCCGATGAAACATTTTTAATGATGAAAGTAAGCACCTATACTTACCTACTATTTTTTCATGTCTATACATTTGTTATATGTCACACAAATAATGAAATTTATTTGTAGGTTGCTCTAATATTAGGAGTTGCTGGGGCTTGTCGTCGAGAGGAGTTGACGAAAATGACGGTGAACGATATCCAAGGCGAAGATACGTTTTTACTCGTAACGATTCCAGACTCCAAAACGCATGTTCCAAGAACTTTTTCTGTTACGGAGGGAAAAGAGAATTGGATACACTTGTACCAGAAATATAAAGCGCTTCGTCCTCAAAATGCTCAAACTTCGCGACTTTTTTTAAATTATAAAATGGGAAAATGTACCGTACAACCTGTGGGTATTAATACATTTGGAGCAATTCCTAAGAAAATTGCGAGTTACCTGAAATTGCCAAATGCTTCTAGTTTTACGAGTCATTGTTTTCGGCGTACCTCCGCAACGCTACTTGCTAATGCTGGAGCAGACCTTTTGAGTCTTAAACGTCATGGGGGCTGGCGGTCGTCGACGGTAGCGGAAGGATACGTAGATGGTTCTCTTCAAGGCAAATTAGAAGTATGTAACAAAATAATTGGTAATGCTTGTCAATCAAATGATCCTTGCACACCTTCGACATGTCAACCAGATGATCCTTGCACATCTTCGACAGCGTCCACATCTACATTAATAACTTCTAAATGCTTTGTGTCAAATTCGTTACTTCCAGGTGTTAATATAAGTAACAGTTCATCATTTACCATTAATTTAAATATTACTAGCCAGAAGTAGCTGTAATTGTAAATTGTGGCATTAAAATAAAAAAAAGGTATCTTTGTTTTTACTTAAGAGTGTGGAAAATAAGTGTGGAAAAATCACTAGTGCGACAAAACCCTACTTTCAAAGGCTACTTTTTTCTCAGAAAACAAGACTTTCATCACTTTCGTAGAAAAATATATTTTTTAGGCTATCATCACAAAAACGTTGATTTTGTGGTCGCTTTTGCGGCCATAAAGTTTCACTTTATTGTACGCTTCTGTCAAACTTTACTTTATTGTACACATCTGTCAAACTGTACCTACTTATTTGAAACTGATGTGTGAGAACCAGTAAGCTGTTTGATAGAAAGCGTCTATCTGGTTTGTCCCCATCAAGGATTGGTCCATCCACGTGCGTTTTTTTCATTTTCAGACTTGTAGGAATGTTTCACACTATTTTGCGTAATCACAATGTTCACATTTAAAATTATAGTTTGACGTTTCAATCTTTGCTGCTTGCAGAGACCTTTTTGAAGTGTAGAACCAAAACATGTGGAAGATGTTGTTGCTTACATTATTATACGAAAAATCACCAGCAATTAACCGAGAACACAAGTAGCTACCTATACCTACCATCAAAGTAGGTAATCAGGTTTCTAATAATTGTACATTAACTATAAGGTCTTGGAAGCCACAGTTACGAAGGACCTATTGCATTTGACATTATTAAAATCTTGTGCAACCGAGGAAGTTGCGATTGTACTTTTACTCTCAAACGCCTGTTTTTATATCATATATGGCTTAGGGTCGCAAGCGCAACGCTTGCAGCTTCCAAAATTTCATTTGGGGTATCTGAACTGTCGCTATCACCCATTTTGATACGCACAAAACACACGCAAAGATGCTAATTATTATTACATATGACAGGAAATGCTTTGTTTTTAATTGTCTAAGATAACTATGATTTTCAGAAAAAATATGTTTATGAGCAAATTTTTGAATTCTTTTTTGGTGATCGCCTAAAAAATGTTGTGTGCACCTTGGCCAAAAGTGATTTGTTAGGCCTCATCTGAATTGCGGCCTCGGCTGCCGCCTCGGCCACAAACAGCAGCTTCGGCCAAAAAAGATCACTTTTACGGCCTTGGTACACAAATAACTATTTTATTATACCTGAATCACAATCTCCGTTTTAAACACTCAAATGCGTGCGAAAAAAGGCCTTTAAAACACAAGTGCTTTAAAGTTGCTAAGTAACGATACTTCAAGTATGACTTTTGAAACTGTCATCTGGATGAAATAAAAAATCCTCTTAGGTCGCTTTCTGTAAATGCAGAACATTTCTTTGGCTTTTGTACCTATCCTTTGGTTGAAGCTTTCACAAACGCGCGTAATTTAGAGTATGCTTCCAAATCTGTTCCACTTTTTAATCGCAGCATTGCTTTAAAGTTTTGAATGAATGCACCAAAATATAGAAGATTTAAATACCTTTGACATTTCCTTCATATATGCCAGCATTATAGATGCATTTAAGACTGCATTCGTAAGTAACTTCCTATTCATCCATGGAAACAACTTTTCATATTGTTTATAATAGGCCTTACTGGGGTTGGATTTTACACCTACCAACGTTTGTTTAGATTTTACAACAACCGATTTAATGGACGGTGTATTATCTTTTTCAACGGAAATCGTTTAATTCACAAAGACGATGATTTTAGAAGCAAACGTCAAGTGACATTTCCATGGCAATCGTGAAATTACGAACACCCAGCCCACTTAATGAAACATGTATTCGAGTATAACGTCAATATGATTTCATTGTATTTCCTATTTTTAAATTATACTGCAGGTATAATAAAAAATACTATAAGATACACGTGCATAATTGGTCTTTAAGCACTTGCAACGTTAAAGGCACTCCGCTTTGCGTCGTGCCCTTAAACTCGTTGCGCGTGCTTTAAAGACTTGATTATACACTTGTATCTTATTATACTATTCAATTCTCAATCGGCTATATCATCCATGCGTGCACTCGCTAACATTTTCTTTTTTGGTAGTGATATTGCGAGAGATAATTTAAATAAAAACAGTATCTTTTGAAAAATATTAAATCAACTGTAGGTATTCCGTAGTTTTCTGAAATCAAAGGTGATCAAGTCGACGATAATCTTCAAAAATTTGGTACGTCCTTCAATAATCTCAAAGTTATTATAGTTTTTAACAGGAACTAAGCATAACAGTATTTAATTCAAGCCCACCAGCCTGAAGTAAATTGTGAATTGTGATCATATTTTACAAGTGCCATTCCAACTCTAGTAAACTGGCATAGGCAAACATTGAAAATGGACCCCCCAAATTTATGTCGTTAAAAATTCTCTCGATTGCCTATCTTCTTAGTCGAGTTGAATTTTTTTAAATTAATCGATAAGTTATCGATTAATGTTTTTTTTTGCACATCACTAGTAGGGTGCTGGTATAGGTACTAAACGCTTTTTATACGCAACTGTATTGCTTGGGTAACTACGCCGGTACAAGCGCTAATTTTACGGGTAGAAATTAGTGTTTAATTCCTAAATTATAGGTATGTGTATTATCAAATTCGGACCAACTTCCAAAAATACTGACGTCACCTCCAGAGTAAATGCGTAAATGAATCATTTTCGAATAAAATCGTTTCACAAGTACCTAACCTACTACCTAACGAGTTGACACCCCTTGGCCATTTACAAATCGTTGTCAACCATATTGCATAATGCTAGTATAAATTCAGCTTATTGCAATTCCAGTTAAAGGGTTTAGTGTGTCGAAGAACTCGATTGGTCACAAGGTTAATGCATGAGAGACAATCGGAATTATCCGTTATGACAGGCAGATAAGACTACATTAGTGTTACACGCTATTGAATGCAATAGAATTGGTTGGCACAACAATTATTTTCAATTTCATTTATTGAGCGGTTCGTACCTACTATTATGAAATCGCTAAAAGCGTACAATTTTGATTGACAACTGAATTTCGATACAATAAAACGCGCTAATGTTTCCGAAGCTTTTAATTCACAGTGGATATTGCTTAATTGAATGCCCTATGCTCCACAGTAAATTGACGAAAAGATTCATTTTGATATTGGAGAACTGTGAGGGTTTATTGGATTGGTTCACTGTTTTACAATGAAACATACCTGAAAGCTCTTGAATCCATAAACAAAAAACTTTTAATGGATTTCATAGTTCTTACTAATGCTTTTTATAACATTTAATTCACACAACTAAACTTAATGCATGTAATTGATCTCTTTTTACTGTCTTCTAAATTACTACATTTCTACACTTCTCTTCCATGGGACTTTCCACCTGGTTCAACTTCTGGTTCACTCTCTTTCTTCTTCCACGCAGACGACCTAGTATTTATCTTATTTCAGCTTTCGTGCCATACCTTTTGTTTCCGATATTCTTGTATTTCATATTTGATTTCCGCCAATTTACCACCTCCTCAAATCGTTTCATTCTCGTCGAGTCCATTTCCTCATCTAATTTCTCATTCTGCACTCGTCTGCGCAACCGACTCTCTAATTTTTTCACCCATAATCTGGTCCACTTTCTGTTCGGCCCCCCTCAGATGTCCACAACTGCACATGTTCCTTTTTTGATTTTATTGGTCCCTTTTCAGTTCAACTCTCGTACGATGAATTCTAATAAACACACAATTAATTGATTGACAATGACAAAATAATATATTATATTATAAGGAGTTAAAGTGATACTTTTTATGTCGAGTTGTCCTGCTGAAGCCCCTTACGTGGGGGAAATGTTGACTTTTCGTTTAAACATTGGCACGGTGCTATCCCGGAAGTCGCTTGCATCTTCATAAATCTGGGTGTTTTTATTATAATTCCGGTTACGCAGATTAACATTGAAGTCCCTTGGGCATATAATGTAGTCACACATTGTGGAGTATTCAGAGGTCTTCAAACTTATTCAGAAACAAGCTATAATTGCTTTGGGGAGACCTAAAACAAGTACGAATTGCATACTTGTGTTTGATAACGTTAACCATAATCCGCGACCGGAATTTGCTACCACCGTTGAGTATCTATGGTTGGTGAAGCTCCTAGAAGGTGTACAAACAATAGCCACGCGCTGGCCTCTTAACTTAGGAGTTTCCTGTAACTGAACTAAAAATGACTGCAGACAGTTTGAATTTGGCGCTTAAAATTTTAGTGCTTCTTTACTTAAGGCGTTGCGGTTAATTTTCTTTAATTAATTAATTGTGATTATCTTTAATTGCCCATAAAATTGATCTGCCACTGCTTTTAAATAAATGACATTTGGCGTTACCAACTTGAAAATTTTTTTGTTTTGCGGGGAATTCAAGCAGTCCGCAGTACTTTTGGATCATCCGGTAGGTAGACTCACCACTGTACGCACCTCCAAATTATATCTACACACACAAAATAAGGTTAAATATTCACGAGCTACTGTTGGTAGTCAGTAGTCACCTGTATCCACGATGACAAAAACGGCTTCTGTTTTCCCTGCGTTCTGTTAAGTGCCCGGGATCCCCGCCATTTTTACATCGTGCATTTTATCTCTTCGCCCATCCGCCTAAGAAAGTACGCAATTGTGTATATCGCTCATCTGCACTGAAAAGAGAAGGTGCCAAATTTAAAATTTACTATAAGTACATGTCACATGAATGGTTGCCACAAGTTTTAGACCATGCTCAATTTTGTTTTCTCCTTCTTGTGATCAGAAATTATGGATCGGCTTCATTTTCAAATAAACACTGGTAGCTATTTTAAAGTGAAAGTGAATAATGATAAATGAGCTTGGACCAAGGCCTGGACACATACCTACCTGTTGCGTTCATTTCTCTTACAAGATTGTGCGTTGAACCAATACACCATTTTCATAGATTCTTTTGCACTCACGCTCACTTGCTTCACATTAAGAATAAATGAATAGCAATCCATCACTCAGGGGATTGCATCTTTATACTCCGTCATATACACAGGAATGCTTTCTGTAAATGTAA